TAGAAAGTGTTTTGCCTTGTTAGCAGGGCATGAAAAAAGAATGAGGAGAAGAAAAAACAAAATAAAAAACAAAACACCATACAAGCAATTATTTAGTGCAGATGTATTCCTGGAAGCACGATTGTGAGCACACCTCCTTCACGGCTTCCCGCCTCGACGTCCTTCCATTTCAACTATGCAATTTTTTTCTTGTCGCGTTTCGTTCTGGTCCATAAGGCCCAAATATTTTCTTTTCGCCAAACCTTTATTGGACACCCGAAAAATGCGGTGTGACGTATAGTCTCATTTTTCCAAACACTGAGAACGGTAGTGGTGGTTTAAGGAATCAAATTATGCATTTTTTTATTATCTGAAAAAACCATGTGTATAGTCCTATAAGTCATGTAGCACGATAGACATATTGGGGGTGGGGTGTGAACAAACTAGTAACATGTTATTTTGTTTACAACTACGTTCACCCGAACATGTTCCCTCTTTTGTGGACAAACGTTTTTGCTTTTGAATGTTTTTTTTTTTTTTAATCTCAAGTTGATAGAGAATTTGAAGATGTCTTCGACGCAAAAGTTATGTGTGTTATTAACTTATTATTTTACATAACAGATATATTTTTTGACAAGGGTTCTGGTGTTAACTTCAAAATTACTTTATTGATCAATATATTGTGGAGAACGACATATAGTCCTATACACTTTCGAGTTCACCTTGTAGTTGTTTTATTGGGCTTTGTTTTTTGTCGGTCTATTGAAAATGACTTATAGTCCTATAACAAGATCTTTGCTATAAATGATTTCTGCACCTTTTCAAGATCGCTTCACTTTTTGTCGGATATAGTTGCTCGACTTCTACCATTTCACTCTCAACAAAATGTTGGGTTCTGTGTGTGTGTTTTCCCCCCCCCCTTTGCAAATCATCATCGGGGAAGAAATTTGGTTCATCCTCCTATACGTTAGACGTATAAACATCCGTGTAGGAAATGATTGATGTCCCCTGACTTAAAGTGTTATGCATGAATTATCGTCGATCTTCAAGTTTCAGATCAACTTTTGGGTCGATGTTTTTCTTCAAGATAAAATCACCAAAATCTAGTGGCTCCAATTACATATGTTATTGGTTTTCCTGTATAGTTATATATGCCAGTAATGTAGTAAGTCTTACAAAATTGTTCAAAATAACTATGTCCATATGGAATCTAAGTCCAACCTTATAGGAGTATATGCTTTGGTGTTGCGTTGTTTTTTTTTACCACAGGAACTGCGAAAAAGAAATCCATGTACTTTTTGGACCTCAAAATTCTAGTTTTATTTAACATGTTGGCAATTTGCTTTAAAGGATTATACCTCGTATGTTACTTCTTTGCAGTTATTGTTCCTTATCTGTACATTAGAAACTGGTTTGCTTTATTTCTTTGTTTTTTACTATTTTGCCGAGTCTTGAATGTCGTTGCAATCGGTGTTCTGCTTCTTCTGTCATAATATGTGTTATTTTTAGTTTTTCACGATATCATTAGTAAACATCGTCGAAATTATGAATTTCCTCGTAGATGTTTTGTCCAAAAAAATATCATCTTTTCATAATAACTCCTTTTTTGGGAGACAATATTCTTTCCTCTGTTTTGGACCAGTTATGGAGTACTTTTTGCCCTCAATCGATATAAAATGACCCGAAAATGCCCTTTGTGGAAGGTCAAATACACTTTTCGTATCCAGGTTTCCTTCGTTTATACGTAATATTGAGTTTTTTTCATTTTGTTGGGTTTTCACAAATATTATGTTGTCTACGGGAAGAGAGTCTTAAGCTTCTAAAGAAGATAATCACAACGCCTCTCTTTGGTCGTCAAGTATAATGTTTTTTAAAGCGGACGGGACATGCTCGTCATGTTGACCACCTCCGGTGATAGAGCAACAACAAGGCCTGAGCAGGTGTGAAGGACGACTGCCAATCTCGTTCACACCCAAGTGCCAGAAGTGTGTTACGGCTGGCACTGATGGAACACTTGTTTTCGACAATTCTCATGCTCTCATGCTTTCCTTGTTTGCAGCCCGTACGGTTGTAGTTGCATTTATACACCTGATTCATTTTTGTCTTCATTTATTATACCCGTCGTTCGTACAAGCCCAATGGTCATTAGAAGGGTGTTAAAATTGCAGGCACGGGCTTCTAGATGGGGCGGGCAGTCCTTGGTGGTGCAGGACCGGCACTGGGCACAGTCCTTTAAAAAAACAAAGTGGTGCGCGGCCCCCTAGGGCCTGAAACTTAAAAGTCAGTCCACTTTTCTCAAATATAGGACAACACTTTGAATAAAGCGCACATACATTATATTCGAATACAAAGCACATGTTTTCTATTCGAAAAAAAAGAGGAAAAACTCTTGTATCCGAATAGAACATTCCTTTTTTTTTCTTTGTTTTTCAAGGTTACTCCTGGTCACTGACACGCTCCGTGCTGCAGGGCTCTCTCTTTCTCGCTCACATACATACACACTGCACATACATGCGCGCACACATACACACACGCACACACAAACACGCACACACAAACACGCACTCGTGAAGTTGTCTATAGCAAAGATGACAAACCACATCAACAAACAAATTAGGGGCTGCACGCCATAGCAAGTCAATCATGGAATGGGTTATAGGAAGAGATAGACGGTGAGCAGTGTGACCGTTAGATGTTGGTTTCAACGGCAGGGCTTCCGAGGATACAATGGAGCGGAGGCAAAGCTCCCCTATGCGGTATGGTTACCTCCGGTGACCATAGCCAGAAGACCTTGACGGCAGGTGTGGAATGTTCAGTGGTACCCAATACCGGGCCATCAAACTCAGCCCGGGATGCTAAGCGCAGGTGATACTCGCCGAGCTTTGACTCAGCGCAGCTGGAGCGGTTGCACTACTGGACTGGAAACATCTGCCCTCGGATTATGTGCTATCTGATGGCTGGATAGCATCGCCCTCTTCTTTGTTTGTTTTTTAACCTCCTTGTGCCGTCTGCTGTTTTTACTGTTGTAGCGCCGGTACTGGCCCCTTCTAGTTGTACCGGGTGCCTGGAGCAGGTCTCGGGAGCAGGTCCGATACGCAATCTGCGCTGAAATTCAGCTTTGGGAGAAAATCCTCCCGGGTGCACTGGCGTTTGAAAACCAGTTTGTACATCCAGTTTGGCCCGACATCGTCATGCAGTCTGCCGCCATTCGATCGGCGGGTGGGACCTCGGCCAACAAATACAGCAGTCGAATGCTCAGAAAACTGCCGGCCTGTCTCCGGCAGAGCTTTCCGCTGGTCTGCCTCTCTTGCCCGCCTGCTTGACCGCCTGTGGTGAGGCGGGGACCTCGGGCTCAGGGTATTGTTCTGACCAGCGAAAAAATGAACGCGGCTCTCCTCTCCCTTCTAGATCGGGCGTGATCCGACTGTCGTCTCGAATGGGGGACAGCGGTCGGCTGTGGTCGCGAAGGCACCCGATAGAGTAGAGTACTACGTTCTGACCTTCTGTTAGATTGGATTATAGTCAGCTCGTTCCTGTGCGCATTTTTTCAGGTGGTCAAGACCATTTGCGGTGTAGCCGCTCGCTCTGGAGGCGACTGTTGATCAACAGAGGCAGGGTTCAAAACTCGCGGGCGAATCGAAAAACAAACAACTTTCGGGATGGAGAGGTTTGACCTCACACCCACGTGGCTGGTTGGCTCGTTACTTACGGCGCTGGACTCGATTTTTTTTCGCTTTGCTCCGGAGCGGCGCGGGGCCGTCGATCGATCTCGTTCCTTTTTTTGTGTTTGTTTTTTCCAGAAACAGTGTGTGCGTCAGGGACCATATCTGTCTGCAAAGATAGATTCACATGACTGCGATCTATTGGCGGCCAGCACGTCTCGGTAGGGAAAAACCGGGTCCATCGTGATTACTACCGTAGCCTGCTGACTCTCTGTCAAACTCATTCCATATTGACCTCTATCCTCTTTACGAGCTTATTTCTTGTAGACTTCGCGAACCAGAAAACTTTGTGCTAGCGCGGCGAGAGACAAAGAACACTCTTGCTGGGCCCGTCTCTCCGAATGCTGGCGGTCACCCCTCCGCACCGAAACCTGTATTTCGGAAAGATATCGGTGACCTCCTGAGTTGACATTCAAAATTCGCCAGCGGCAGTGTGAGATAGATAACAAACGGTGGTTTCGCTCACGCGCTGGCGCGCGTGTTTTTGTGCGTGCGTGTGTGTGCGTGTGTGTGTGCGCGCGCGGGTGCGCGGGTGTGTGTGTGTGTGAGTGCGTGTGTGTGTGTGTGTG